GCACATCAAATTCGGGTTCCTTTGAGAGGTATCGGTCTGTATAGGCCTGGGCCACTTGGTGTCTTTGATTCTTCCAATAGCCGACACAATCCCTGATGCATCTACACTGAAGTTATACTCCGATAACGAGGTGCCTTTGTGGGATCGGTATACTTATCGAATCCGCTTTTACTCATGAGTCCCTGAGAACTTTGACCTCGATCGTCTCTCCGATCGTTCCAAGGAGCGTTCCGACCTGAACCGTTGTTACTTCGATCGACATACGGTTGATACCGTTCCCCGTTCGATCTCGATTCCCTGTTCGTATCCCTCGGGGGCTTGATCGCGAACCTGTTAGGATAAATCGAACCCAAGGGGGCTCCCAACCGATCGTCCTCGACCCTGATTTTTTATTGGTAACGGTTGTGCACATATGACCACGTCACAGCTGGATACTCGATCAAGTTCTGCTTTAATTGTCGAGATGCAATCGAGCTCCGTTCGTTCAAACCCTGCATAAAGGCATGTACTGCCCAGTTGTCGGAGACCGGTGGTAATTCCATTCTTTCCATCTGAAACCTGGACACGAACTCCCTTAACATCTCGTTGTTCCTTTGTTTTATTTTGAAGACATCCGATTTTCTCGTGGCCACCTTTATGGCCCCGGCGTGTGCTTTCACGAAGGCATCTGCTAACATAGCAAATGAGTCAATAGAGTTAGGAGCTAAGTTGTGATACCAAATCATAGCTCCTTTCGATAACGTTTCTCCTAACTTTTTTAACAAGATCGATTCGATCTCATCGTCATTCAAATCATTTCCTTTGATCCCGCAAGTGTATGAAGTAATATGCTCGTTGGGGTCGGTTATTCCGTTATATTTGGGTATATCGGTCATGCGAAACTTTTTGGGAATGGGCATCGGAGCCGCACTTTGAGGGAATGGTTTTTGTATGAATTTTTTGGCATCTAATCCTTTCAAAACTGGAGGTGCCCCCGGTATCTGGTCTACACGGGAGTTATAAGTCTCCACCTTCTTATCATTGTCCTCAATTTTATTTTCTCCGGACTCGATCCTCTTAGTGAGCTCTTCGAACATCTTCATAATCGTGGGGTCAGTCCCCGAGCCGCTTTCATTTGACCTTTCTGGCGTTGGCTCAATACGTCAATTGTTTTCATGTTCAGCTACACTGGAGTCTTATTTTTACTTTGAAGTTGAGCGATGGCGATTTGCTGAGCCTGCAGCATCTCGAATATCACTTGTAGGCTGACTCCCCCATCTCCTATTCCTGGTGATCCTTGGTCCCCTGGTCGGGCTTCCCTGCGTACACTCCCTTCGGGGTCTGTGCCTAAGTCGGTGTTTAGAGCAATATGAGAACTAACATCAACTGGTTCCATGTTTGGCACTTCTCCAGGGTTTACCGGCGGTACACCGACCCCTACATTATTGTTTTCACCAAGACCTTCGTTGTCATGAGCAGGTGCATTTTGTGAGCTAGACATATTTCAGCTTGAGAATCAAAAATTCTTGACAAGAAAAAGTCTAAAAATAACGCGTGTAATAAGTATCAGTAAAGAAACAATCACTATTATCTTTAGCCCCACGATGGGCGCCAAACTGTTTACCTCGAAAATACGAGTAACAATTAAATTTGATTTGTGGTTTTAAAGATACGTGATTAGATTCAATATCAATTAATAATCAAAAAATATGAAGTAGAGTTGAAAGAAATAAGTGTATCGAACCAATATAACTCAGCAACAGTGACCTCGAGCTTAGTGACCTCGAGGTGGGTTTGGGACAATAAGAACAATTAGGCAAGAAAAGTAAAGTAAGAGCTGTAGAGCTAATAGACAATTCTGATGAACAGTAGGCAAAAAGTAGAGAGTATATTCTTTTTCTCAATGATTAGATGATGTTACAAATGATTGGGGTCCCCTTTTTATAATAGGGGAACCCTAAATAAGGTATATTTCTATTTACAGTAAGGAATATTCTTGGTACATCTGTCTAACCGCCTAGTACGGAATTGTACGATCCTACTCCGGGATTCGCGCCATGATTTTGGGAACGTGGGAGGAATCTAGCTCATTCTGTTGTAAATGCATAACGGTACCTATTTCGGGGTCGAGCATACTTAGCCTTGGAACTCTTCGTACTCCTATCTCTCGAGCATTGCGTTCTGTCTTCGAACTCAAATCTGGTCCACCAAACTCGAACTCGACCTCGTCCGGGCTTGGGCCCAGGATGGACCCTCGAGCCTATAAGTCGGAGGCATATGATTTTGACCGTATACAATTATATTAATATATTATGTATTGTATTATTATTAGTATCTATTAATTAACCTCTACAACTTATGCGCAGATTCACTCCAACAAATGGAATAGGCTTGAGTTGTTGCGTCTCAATGATCTAGTGTATATTAAATACAATAAAACATTGAGGCGTCGTTATGAAGCTAGCGATACCATTGATCCAATTTTGTTGGATAACGTTGACGAGGAAATTGAATGGTTAACTGGAGCCCCCAAAATCATGAAGATGAACAAATGTATGTAGGAGATGATCTCGATTGGGTATTGTTTCTATGGTCGCTGGAGTTGAGGAGAATATCTATGGTCTTAGAGGAAGTTCTTCAAATTCAAATAACAAGGGAAAGGGAGTAGCTACAAGTTCAAGCCGGTCCCTAATTTATGAAGACTCCGAGAGTGAAGAAGATGATAGCCAATATAATGCTAACATTCTTGAAGTTCAAGAATATGAAAATCTTGAAGAAGAAGAATAAATGTTGCTTGTTTTAGACTTTTAGTTTATGAATTTACTATAGCTATTTATCGAGTTTTTAATTTTTGAATTGATATATTTATTAATATATTATTGCTTTTGAGTTTTTAGTTATATATATAAAATTTTATTTTTTGTATAAATTGTCGCTTTACATCAAAAATGCGAGTGCTTCGCTGCTCTCCTCTCGCCTTAGTGAAGCGGGCCCTCGTCGCTATTTGTCGCCGCACGCTATCCAAACACTGGAAACGACAACACTCCAACTAGCTGGTTGGTATGCATGTGTATCTTACCGTAAAATATGCTCTATTCTTAATCATGTCCAATTATTCATAGTCAACATAAATTTAGGGATGGCAAACGGTGCGGGGCTCATTTTGGTCTTCCTACTATCTTGTTGTTATTTGTGCTGCTTTTACATGGCTTCTCAGTGTTGTCTCTTATTTTTCTTTTTATTAATGTGGTGCTTATATTTTGTTGAGCCGAGGGTCTTACTGGAAACAATCTCTCGATCTCCGCAAGGTAAGGGTAAGGTCAGTGTACACACTACCTTTCCCAGACCTCACTATGTGGGGTTATACTATGTATGTTGTTGTTGTTGTTTGTTAAACGGTGCTGGGCGGTGCGGTTGCGAGGAAACCCGCGTAAACCCACGAAGACTTCAATCCGCCCCGCCACGAAAAACATTATTTGTTGTTTTTTAAACCTCCCCGCCCCGCCCCGCCCCGCCCCGCCCCGCCCTGCCTCGCCTCGCTCAAACCCGCCCTCATATTTTTAAAAAAAAAAAATATTTGGGAATATTATCAAAAGATATCATATTTTAATGCATTATATTTTCTTTTTACAGTATACATACCTTGTTGTATGCATACAGTGAATGCATTATTTTTGTAACAATCTGTACTTGTTAGCTTTAAAGTAATACTTACTATAACATATACGCCAGTCTCACACCATCAATGCATAAACATTAGCTTCACTAGGTGACTAAATTGCACATATTTTTTAATTGAAGTTCAAATGTGCTAGTGAAAAATAACACAAAGACCAAAATCAAACTAAAGCAAATTTAAGGACCACCATTACTGTTTCCGAAATAGAATGAATTGAATAGAAATCAGTAACTCTCATATGCAGTCATCAATGATCCAAGGCAGCAAATCACAAATGGTTATCCGGTGACTTAATTGTTCATATTTACCTGAGAGTTTTATCACAACAAGCATTGAAAATCTAAAATAACGTCTATTAAAAACCATTAACCAATAATTAATCCAAAATAGCAGTAATGACAGATAGCATTACAAGAACTCAGGAAGCATGGGAAGGATAGAAAAACAAAAACTCAATGGAAGTCATAACTTGCAAGGCTAAGATTCAAAATTAAGTTCGAATCTTAGCCAAAAAGAAAGAAAAGAGAGAAAGAAAGAGTTATCTGATGTCCATAATCTTTAAACTTAAGTGAAAAGTGAGAGTATAGTTGGGAACGAGTCTTTTGGGCACGCTTTATTTAAATCCTTATAGTCTACGCACATGCAAAATTTATTGTTCTTCTTTGGAACTATTACTACGTTAGCTAGCCAGTCAGGATACTTTACCTCTTGGATTAAAACAATATCAAGTAAACGAGTTATCTCTTCTTTGATGAATTTGTTTCTGACCTCGGCAATAGGACGTTTTTTTGCCTTACAGAGGGATGTTAGGATCCAAGCTTAATTTGTGCTCCAAGCTTATAGTCTACGCACATGCAAAATATATTGTTCTTCTTTGGAACTACTACTACGTTAGCTAGCCAGTCAGGATACTTTACCTCTTGGATTGAACCAATATCAAGTAAACGAGTTATATCTTCTTTGATGAATTTGTTTCTGACTTCGGCAATATGACGTTTTTTCTGCCTTACAGAGGGATGTTAGGATCCAAGCTTAATTTGTGCACGGCCACTTCTTGCGGGATAGTCATATCCACATGCGACCATGCAAAATAGTCAACATTAAATTTAAGAAATTCAATAAATTCAGACCTGAGCTCGGAGTTTAGTCATGTTCCCAAGTGGAACTTGCTCTCCAAGAACTTTTCGAACAACGCAATTTTCTCAAGTTCTTCCGTTGTAGACTTTGTTGCATCCATTTCTTCAGGCACCTGAAAATATCTTGGTGCCTGATAGGATTCTGACGACTCCTCCCTTTGGTCGGCTTTGCTCGGCTTGGGAGCAGGCATCGGCTCCTGTAATTGCTATGTTACATGCTCCTTCCCTTTGCTACTGAAAACTGAGATTGCGTTCATCTCCCTTGCTGCCGGTTGGTCACCTATTATTTGTTTAATTCCCTCGGGAGTGGGGAATTTCAGTAATTGATGATATGTTGACGGCACTGCCTTCATCTCGTGCAACCACGGTCTCCCCAGAATAATATTATAGCCGATATCGCCATCTACTACCTCGAAGAGGGTCGTCTTCATCACTCCCTTGACATTCGTAGGCAGCAAGATCTCTCCTCGGGTTTTCATGCTTGCCAGATTGAACCCGGCGAGAAGGTTTGTGGCTGGAATAATACTTCCGGTCAGCTTGGCTTGCTCCAGCACTCTCCACTGGATAATATTGGCTGAACTTCCTAGGTCCACCAAAACGCGTTTAATTTTAAAATCTAAGATATTTAAAGAGATTACCAAAGCATTGTTGTGCGGTAGCAGTAGTCCATTTGCATCTTTCTCCGACGAAATACGGAGTCTCTTACTGTGGTTTACCGACACCTTCGTCTTTTTTGCCGTAGAAAATATCACACCATTAATCTCGTTTCCCTCAAAAATCATGTTGATCGTCAAACGTAGAGGATCTTCTCCCGCTTTCGAAGGTTCCGCGTTATCACGATTGCGGCCGTAGTTATTTTTAGCCCGATTACTTAAGAATTCTCCAAGATGGCCGTTTTCAGCAATCGCTACCTCCTCGCGCAAATATCGGCAGTCCCCAGTCCGGTGACCATTGGTCCCATGGTATTCGCACCACAAATTAGGATCCCTCTGACTGGGATCGGATCTCATTGATTTCGGGAACCGTGAATGTTCCTCATAGACGACACCAACTCCACTACGTTAACGTTGAAGTTGTATTCAGAAAACCAGGATAGGAGGAATCTCGGGAACTCGATATCTCCTTGTCCTGCAATGATCTGTTATTCCGGCCGCGATCAGCTCTCTTCTCGGTAAAAAATCTATCCGCCGATCGGAAACCTCTATCGCGTCCTTCGGCCCACTCATAGGGCAAAAATTGACCTCTTGAAGACCGTCGATCTGCGTCGAAATCATTCTTTGATTTCTCCTTATTCTTCTCATGGTACCGACCCTTAGTTGATGCCGGAAAACCGAGATGATCATCCTCAATTCTTATCTTTGACTCATACCGGTTGTGAACATCTGCCCATGCTGTTACCTGAAACTCGAGCAGACTTTCTTCCAATTTTCGGTAAGCATCAAAACATCTCCGATTCAGTCTTTTAGTGAATGCTTCAACTTCTCATTCGTCCAGTACAACCGATAGCAGTATCCATTCTTTCTGGAACCTGGTCACGAACTCCCACAGTAATTTGGACTCTCCTTGTGCAATCCTAAATATGTCGGCCTTTCGGGCCTGTTCCTTTCTGGCCCCGGCATGGGCCTTGATAAAAGAATCCGCGAGCATCTCAAAGGAATCTATTGAGTTCTCGGGTAAGAGCGAATACCATGTCAGGGCCCTCTTCGTGAGGGTCTCCCTCAAATTCTTTTAGTAAGACTGACTCAATCTTGTGCGGAGCTAAATCATTTCCCTTCACCGTCATTGTATAAGTGGTGATGTGCTCCTGAGGATATGAAGTCCCATCATACTTCGGCATGGCTGGAATTTTGAACCGCTTCGGGATCAACTCTGGTGTCGTGTTTGGTTTAAACGGCAATTGGGTGTATTTCTTTGAGTCCGGTCCTTTGAACACTGGTGGTGTGCCCGGAATCTGATCCATTCGGGCGTTTGTTTCTCTCATAAACCGCATGAGTTCGGTTTTAAAGGGATCATTATCATTGTTGCTAATGTTCCCTCCGGCCCTGTCGAAGCCGGCTTCGCCCCTCGGGGTGTTGTTGTCGACCTTCTACGTTGTTTGGTTTGCGTGAGCACCAGGAGGAACTGGACCTCGTCCATTCGCGTTGTTGGAAGCACCCGACAACGCCTGCCTCAATTCCATTATGACTTGATCATGTCGTGAGAGGTGGCCCATAATGGTCTTTTGTTGCTCCCTTAGGATCCTTACTATTTCAGCGACGTGCTCGTCTTCAGCATCATCAGGAGTTGTCTCTCGAACATGTCGTGAATATTGCTCGCCATGAACCGGCATGACCTCATCCCTCTCGTTGCGGGTATCACTGATCGAATCTTCGTGCTGAGGCTGATTTCCTTGGGCCCCAATGTTGTGTGCGATGTTGACATCATTATCTGTCATTTTCTATGATTTTTGCTAAGAACAAAGAATCAAACAGGTTAGCAATAGATGCAAGGATCGGCTCAATTACACAACTGTCTAAGCCCGACAATGGGCGCCAAACTATTTACCCGTAAAATAGTACAATTAAATTTATACGTGGTTTATAGACAAGTGAATCGATTTGATCCAAAAAATAATAAATAAATTAAACAAGAATGTAAAACATAGCGTTGAAATCGAGATAACACAACAAAAATCCTAATTCTGAGAGTAGAGCTTCCGGAGGCAGCAGTAACAATATTAATAAGCAAGAAGATATAATATTATTGAGCTTTGAACAGTGTATGACATAAGTTTGTCAGAAAATCCGTCCCGTACAATGGTTGTTGAGCTCATTATTTATAGTTGCACCTAGCGAACAAGGTCCTAGGTCAAGCCCCTCTTAAATGGTAGTTATGAGAGACATTGAAGAATGTGTAACGGTAGACAGTGAATGTCATATTCTTTGTAATGGACTACGTACTTAATGCTATAGAATATTCTCCATTAAATGCTACCGGGTGGCATGCATTTATTTCGTCTTTATGAACATTATTCCCTTCGGGAACAAGCGGGATCGTTGCCTTCGGACCTGATTGCCTTCTGCCTTCGGCTTCAAATGTCTCTTTATTATGCGATCATTTAATATAAACATATTTTACCCTATACAATTTGTTTGGCCATGACTATTTGCAAATGTTTAGTTTCAAAATTTGAACTTCAAGTAAAATGTTGAAAAGGTGTATTTAATTTCTACTTAAATTCGAGTACTAGTTTCTACAACAAATTTGCAACTTATGTTTGTTGGGTTTTGGATGTGTTTAATTAATATATTAAATACTTAAAAGAGGGTGAATGGGAAATGGAGGGAAATAAAATTTTTGAGTGAAATTTTAAGTTTCCCCCTTGGCAAATGGGCATTGTCCCATATTGGAAGAGAAAGAGGTTTTTTATGGGTATATAAGCAATTGCTCTTCTTCTAGCTCTTAAAGAGTTGAGAAGAAGGCAAGCCTCGCGCCGTCGTCGTCGTCGCTCGCTCGGCTCGGCTTCGGCTTCGGCTACGGCTACGGCTTCGGCTTCGGCTTCGGATTCGGATTCGGATTTGGATTTGGTCAAATGATTGATTGATTAACTTTTTGGACCAAATTTATTTGTTAATAGTAAAATATTAACAGAAATGTTATTAAATATTTGTTTTAATAACAAAATGTTAATATTAAATATTAATATTAAATCCAATCCGTTTTTCTGTTTTGGTAACAGAAAAGTAACTACCCTCTTCAATTTTCCCTCTTTATTTTCCCTCTTTATTATTGAGTAAATGGCCATTTATGTAATGGCATTTATGCTGTGGGCGTTTTGCATAACAGCCATTCTGAAGAGTTGCACCTCTTCAGATTTCAGCCTAACTTTGGCTATAAATACAACACTATTCTGCTCAGAATTTTAACTACAATTTTCTGAGTTTCCTCTCCTTCTTCTGCATACTTTTAGCATCAAAACAAAGCAAAAAGTAAGTGTGATTTGCTACCGAACTTTGTGTTCGCTGAAACACTGGGGTTTGAAGTACCACTACACCAGTGTGTAATTCGTTCTATCCTAGGAGGAAATAATCCATAACCTTGGGTACTAGGAGGGGATTAAATTCCTTAAGGAAACACTTCAGTGGGCTCGAATTGGTTTATGTCATTTCTGTTTATATTCATTACTGTTTATATTCATTTATATTTCCAGAATTTATTTTACAAATACAGTGTAATAACAAGCTTAAGGAATTTAACAATTTATTTTCTGTATTTGTACTTACTGTTTCTGGAAGAGTAAAACCTTTGTGGTTTTGTACTCTATTAAAATCTACGTGATTTTAACGTTTGTGTCATTCTTTTACAGAAATGACTAATGAGAATGAGAACCAAGCGGTTCCAATGGTGACTGCCAATGCGTCAACAAGCCGAACGACACCGGCAGCATTGGCACCGGCGGAGAAACCCGGAAAATTTTCCGGGATTGATTTCAAGCGCTGGCAGCAAAAGATGTTCTTCTATCTGACTACTCTAAGTCTCCAGAAGTTCATCAAGGAAGATGTTCCTGTGCTGTCCGATGAAACTCCAGAAACTGAACGCTTTCTCGTAATTGAGGCATGGAAGCATTCAGATTTTTTGTGCAAGAATTATATTCTAAGCGGGCTGGAGGATGGTTTGTATAACGTCTACAGTGGCGTGGAAACGTCAAAGGAACTGTGGACTGCGCTTGAAAAGAAATACAAAACCGAAGATGCCGGGTTGAAAAAGTTTGTTGCTGCAAAGTTTTTGGACTACAAAATGGTAGATAGCAGGTCTGTTATTACCCAAGTCCAGGAATTGCAAGTGATTATTCACGATCTCCTTGCTGAAGGTATAACTCAATTTAATATTGATGTTGAAAGTAGTAATCTTAGTATTTTTACTAATAGAAATTTCATTGAAGGTCTTGTTATCAATGAAGCATTTCAAGTAGCAGCGATGATTGAGAAGTTGCCTCCTTTGTGGAAGGACTTCAAAAACTACTTGAAACACAAACGCAAGGAGATGTCCCTTGAAGATCTCATTGTTCGGTTGAGAATCGAAGAGGACAACAAAGCCGCGGAAAAGAGAGGCCGTGGAAATTCAACAATAATGGGAGCAAATATTGTTGAAGAGAACAAAAAGAGAAAGAAGGCTTCTGGACCGAAATACAACCCAAGCAAGAAGCGGTTCAGTGGAAACTGCTACAACTGTGGGAAAACTGGACACAAATCTACGGAGTGTCGTGCTCCGAAGAAAGACAAGAAAAGGGGTCAAGCAAACATGGTTGAAAAGCATGATGATGTTGATGATTTATGTGTCATGCTTTCCGAATGCAACTTGGTGGGCAATCCTAAAGAGTGGTGGATTGATTCTGGAGCCACTCGCCATGTTTGTGCTGTTAGAGAAGCTTTTGCTTCTTATGCTCCCGTTGGACCCGATGAGACGATTTCTATGGGAAATGCTTCAAAGGCGAAGATTGAAGGATATGGGAAAATATTTCTCAGAATGACTTCCGGCAAAGTGATGACTTTGAACAACGTCCTTCATGTTCCCGAGATTAGGAAGAATTTAGTCTCTACTGGACTTCTTGTTAAGAATGGGTTTAAATGTGTTTTTGTCGATAAGGTTGTAATAAGTAAGAATGAGATGTTTGTAGGAAAAGGTTACCTCACTGAGGGCCTTTTCAAGCTGAATGTAATGGTTGTTGAAAATAATAATAAAATTTCAGGTTCGTCTTACTTACTTGAGTCAAATGAATTATGGCATGTACGTTTGGGTCATGTCAATTATAAAACCTTACGGAAAATGATTAATTTGGAAGTATTGCCCAAGTTTGAATGTGACAAATCAAAATGTCAAGTATGTGTGGAATCTAAGTATGTTAAACATCCTTATAAGTCGGTTGAAAGGAATTCAAATCCTTTAGACTTAATTCACAGAGATATTTGTGACATGAAGTCAATACCATCTCGCGGTGGAAAAAAGTATTTCATAACTTTTATTGACGATA